GCCATAATTCCAAAAGGTATGTTTGGCGCAAAAACAACACTGCACATCACCTAAAGAACACCATACCCACAGTGAAGCATGGTGGTGGCAGCATCATGCTTTGGGGCTGTTTTTCTTCAGCTGGAACCGGGGCCTTAGTCAGGGTGGAGGGAATTATGAACAGTTCCAAATACCAGGCAATTTTGGCACAAAACCTTCAGGCGTCCGTTAGAAAGCAGAAGATGAAGAGGAAGTTCACCTTTCAGCACGACAACGACCCAAAGCACACATCCAAATCCACAAAAGCATGGCTTCACCAGAAGAAGATGCACGTTTTGGAATGGCCCAGCCAGAGCCCAGACCTGAATCCAATTGAACATCTCTGGGGTGATCTGAAGAGGGCTGTGCACAGGAGGTGTCCTCACAATCTGACAGATTTGGAGCGCTTTTGCAAAGTGGAGTGGGCAAATATTGCCACGTCAAGATGTGCCATGCTAATAGACTCCTAACCAAAAAGACTGAGTGCTGTTATAAAATCAAAAGGTGCTTCAACAAAGTATTAGTTTAAGGGTGTGCACACTTATGCAACCAGGTTATTGTGAGTTTTGTATTTTGTATTTTTCCCCCTCAAAGATTTTGTAAAACATTTTTTAATTGAATTGTTCCCATTATAGGTCACATTAAAGGTGGAAAAAGTTCTGACATGATTTATCTTTGTCTCATGCTTTTACATCACAAAAACCTGGCATTTTAACAGGGGTGTGGAGACTTTTTATATCCACTGTATATACTGCAGACAAGTCATATTTGCACGATTTATCTTATTCGTAATTAATTAATCGTTAACGTTTGCTTCGTTCATGTGACCAACCAATTCAGGGTCATGCATGTGACAGACCAATACTTCACGAGGCTTCTTCTCTCTAAGCTGAGACCTTGAAACTGAGATACACTACCGGTCAAAAGTTTTAGAACACCCTTTCTCTAAACAAGGTTCTGGGCGTACTGCTAAATTGCAGACACTGATAGTGAGGATTCATTCAATCAGTCACTTGCATGAACACAGAAATTGGTTTATAGAAAAGCACAAACAGAGAACATAGAAATTGGTAAATAGAAAAGCACAAACATAAAAATGTCCATCACACCATAACCATCAATGACATCAACAAGTAGGCCCAACTCATGTGAGAGTAATATTAGCACCCCCCATCTTGGACCAATGCACCATCAGTCCCTGAGTCTAAAATTCATTATTTCTCAACGCAACATTTCAACAGATGCTCTTATCCAGAGCAAATAGGGTTAAGTGCATTGCTCAAGGGCACATTAGCAGATTTTCCACATAGTCGACTGAGGGATTCAAACCAGCGACCTTACGTTTACTGGCCCGATGCTCTTTACCGCCAGGCTACCTGCTGCCCGGTAGTAACGGGTTGAATTCACCTGAAGTTATTTCAGTCTTTGAGGCACCAGTGACTGGAAGCTATCAATCTATGAGTCAGCCAGCCAGGTCCTAAACGATGACATGACTCACAGTTAGATGCTATCAGAAACACACTGATTGTGTCTTTCGGTTACACATCATGGCGGAAGACCAAGAGCCCATGAAGATGGAAAAATAACAATTGCTTCCCAAATGGCACCCTATTCCCTATATAGTGCGCTACTTTTGACCTGGGCCCATATATATAGGGAATAGGGTGCTATTTTGGACACAATACCAGACTTAACACATCACCTCTGGTTACAGAATAAGAGATCACAACACAGGATGGGAATGGACATGCAGCAGAACCGTGAGAAAACAGCCTGGTATCTTTGAGTTAGTGCCACGCGATACAGGGGATAAATCTCACTTGACTCGGTTAACTAGGAAATCAAATCATAAATCACTCTCTCTGGGCTTCAGTTTTCACCGGTATTGCAACACCACAAAGCTAGTCTTTGTATAAATACTTTTGATCAATCAGTCTTGCGATTCTTATTTTATACTGGGAAAAACATTTTGTCGCACTCATGAAAAACACAGAAATGTAGATAGGAATACAGCCTTTATTACTTGGATATTCTGGCTAAAATATCCTATTAGCCATCACCTGGAAGCTTTAACAAAGACTAAATCTGTGGTGACGCTATACTGATGTAATTTCTGTTTCTTTTCATTCAGACCCACACATCTTCATTATCACATCAATGATGGCGGCAGGTAGCTTAGTGGTTAAGAGCGTAGTGCCAGTAACCGAAAGGTCGCTGGTTCTAATCCCCGAGCCGACTGGGTGAAAAATCTGTCGCTGTGCCCTTGAGAAAGGCACTAAACCCTAATGTCTCCTGTAAATCGCTCTGGATAAGAGCGTCTGCTAAATGACGTAAATGTATTCGATACCACTAAGTGGGTCTCTGAGTCATGTGATAAACGTAACACCTCAGCCTGTATTACTATTTCAAAGGGTTGGTGAATGAACAAAGTTACTGTATTGTCCTTGAACCCGTTGACAATAAAGATGTCATGGTTACGCAACACAAAGGCTCTTTGTATTTGTACTGACAGTTAAAGTGAAAGTGCAAAGGTCTGTCAGCCCAGAACCATGAAAGAGAAATATGTAACAGCTGTAATAAACACATCTTCATGGGGATATTAGGGAGATTTTGACATTATTGTGTGTTTCAGAAAAGCCACTGCATGCATGTACAGTATATCGTGGTCCTCTGTAGCTCAATTGGTAGAGCATGGCGCTTGTAACGCCAGGGTAGTGGGTTCGATCCCCGGGACCACCCATACTTAAAATGTATGCACACATGACTGTAAGTCGCTTTGGATAAAAGCGTCTGCTATATGGCATATTATTATCTTTATATTGGTTGTTTGGAATGCCAATAGATTCTGTTAACCTCTTTCTACCTCTGTCTTTTCATTTACAAAACAAATGTTCTCTTTGTGGTGTCATAACTCATAATCCATTAACATTTATAAAGGATCGGTTCTCTTAGTTGTGTCATAACTCCTAAACCATTAACATTTATAATGGCTCGGTTCTCTTAGTTGTGTCATAACTCCTAAACCATTAACATTTATAAAGGGGGGGGGGGGGGGGGGGGGGGGGGGGGGTAATCAGGAAACATGTATATACAGTACCAGTCAAAAGTTTGGACACACCTACTCATTCAAGGGTTTTTCTTTATTTTTACTGTTTTCTACATTGTTGAATAATAGTGAAGACATCAAAACTATGAAATAACACATATGGAATCATGTAGTAACCAAAAAAGTGTTAAACTAATCAAAATATATTTTATATTTGAGATTCTTCAAAGTAGCCACCCTTTGCCATGATGACAGCTTTGCACACTCTTGGCATTCTCTCAACCAGCTTCATGAGGTAGTCACCTGGAATGCATTTCAATTAACAGGTGTGCCTTGTTAAAAGTTAATTTGTGGAATTTATTTCCTTCTTAATGCGTTTGAGCCAATCAGTTGTGTTGTGACAAGGTAGGGGTGGTATACAGAAGATAGCCCTATTTGGTAAAAGACCAAGTCCATATTATGGCAAGAATAGCTCAAATAAGCAAAGAGAATTGACAGTCCATCATTACTTTAATACATGAAGGTCAGTCAATCTGGAAAATGTCAAGCTCTTTGAAAGTTCTTCAAGTGCATTCGCAAAAACCATCAAGCGCTGTGATAAATCTGGCTCTCATGAGGACCGCCACAGTAATGGAAGACCCAGAGTTACCTCAGCTGCAGACGATAAGTTAATTAGAGATAACTGCACCTCAGATTGCAGCCCAAATAAATGCTTCACGGAGTTCAAGTAACAGACACATCTCAACATCAACTGTTCAGAGGAGACTGCGTGAATCAGGCCTTCATGGTCGAATTGCAGTAAAGAAACCACTACTAAAGGACACCAATAATAAGAAGAGACTTGCTTGGGCCAAGAAACACAAGCAATGGACATTAGACCGGTGGAAATCTGTCATTTGGTCTGATGAGTCCAAATTTGAGATTTTTGGTTCCAACCGCTGTGTCTTTGTGAGACGCAGAGTAGGTGAACGGATGATCTCCACATGTGTGGTTCCCACCGTGAAGCATGGAGGAGGAGTTGTGATGGTGTGGGGGTGCTTTCCTGGTGACACTGTCTGTGATTTATTTAGAATTCAAGGCACACTTAACTAGCATGGCTACCACAGCATTCTGCAGCGATACGCCATCCCATCTGGTTTGCGCTCAGTGGGACTATCATTTGATTTTCAACAGGACAATGACCCAAAACACGCCTCCCGGCTGTGTAAGGGCTATTTGATCAAGGATGGGTGATGGGGTGCTGCATCAGATGACCTGGCCTCCACAATCACCCGACCTCAACCCAATTGAGATGGTTTGGGATGAGTTGAACCGCAGAGTGAAGGAAAAGCAGCCAACAAGTGCTCAGCATATGTGGGAACTCCTTCAAGACTGTTGGAAAAGTATTCCTCATGAAGCTGGTTGAGAGAATGCCAAGAGTGTGCAAAGCTGTCATCAAGGCAAAGGGTAGCTACTTTGAAGAATCTAAAATCTAAAATATATTTTGATTTGTTTAAAACTTTTTTGGTTACTACATGATTCCATATGTGTTATTTCATAGTTTTGATATCTTCACTATTATTCTACAATGTAGAAACTAGTAAAAATAAAGAAAAACCCTTGAATGAATAAGTGTGTCCAAACCTTTGACTGGTACTGTATATATTTTGACATGTATTTAACCCCTTATTTTTTTGTCACTAAACACTCTCCATATATACTACCATTTATTTTTTCAACTGGTACTGGAGACCTTCAGACTAGATTTTCAGGATGTCTCATGGTCTGACAAACACCTCTCTAGCTCTGTCACCCTTCAACCGCAGATGCAGACGTGCGACATCGGCGGATGCGGTGGATTGAGATGAATCCAATATCGTTAGCTTAAACTGACAGATTTTAATGGGGATTTTTAATTATGCTAATTAGACGTTGAGTCTATGGGGGTTAACATTTATAAAGGAACTGTTCTCTTAGTTGTGTCATACCTCATAAACCATAAACATAACAGGGTGAAATGCAGTAAACAACTTTATTAGCCTTTGTTAGTGAAAACAAATATAGTTGACAAAAATCCACAATATGAAAACATACAAAGAACACACAAATACAAAGAGATTTCAATCAGAAATTGTAGGCACTTATACTTTTTTGGTTGGTGTTCAATACAGGTTTTATGCTACACACAAAATTACAACTGTACAAACACACGCTCACACACACATACGCGCGCACACACACACACACACACAGATTCCAACAGGCTTGCTATACAGTAAAATGCAACCATACAGAATGGCTGGGCTGGCTTCAACAGGTATGGGTCTCTGTTAAAGGAATAGCAGAACTACACTGTAGCATCATTACCAGTCAGATCTCTGCAGATGCCTTCTGCAGTAGGCAAGCAAAAATGTCTCTCAAATGACCAGACATCATAAAAAAATCGTATTGATTTACGACAGGACTCGTCACTGCAGGATGGCAGAGTGAATGGCAGAGCTTCTAGCTTCTCAGCCTCTTTGGCCTCCTCGTGTGCTGGAAAACAAATATATTGGTTTCAGGAAGATGAATCAATCAATTTATCAATGAATCAATTAATGAATAAATTAACAAATTAACAAATTAATGAATCAATAAATCAATAAATTACTTAATTACTCAATCAATCAATCAGTGAATCAATCAATCAATCAATGAATCAATCAATCAATCAATGAATCCAGTTGTAATGGTAGAAATTCTCACCTTTTTACTCTTCTTGGATCGAACCTTCAGCATCAGTCCATTCACCCACTTCTCTCTGGGGTCAGCACAGAACAACCTGCCCCCCTTCATCGTGAACCTGGACGTGGATCGGAAAATAAAAACTTAGAGTGACCTTCAAAACACAAAGCACTGATGAAGTTTACAGCCTACAGTTAGTAGTTCAACCTCGTGAGGTGAGTGAACCTCTGCCATGCATAACAGAGCTGGATGTCTTGTCCATTGAAGGTACATTGTTTTTTACCTTTTTTTACATGTTCTGTATTACTAAAGTCATGTAGAAGCCTTTCCAAGGTTGTGCTTGCTCCCTTATTCACAGACTTACACTATGGCAGGGATGTTGCAACCCCCGTCCGTCTCCTGCCTCCGGAAACTCGTTACCATCCTCTCAACACTCTTCTTCACCCTCCGCACGTACTTCAGACAGCAGTCTTCATAGGAACCTGGGGCCAGGGAGAGGATCACAGCTCAACGTCTGTACTTTATTATGAATAAAAGAAGAGAAGCTCCCCACTCTGCACATAAATGAATCCGTTTATTCCATTTTTTGACATTTGGTTCAAAATGGAATAAACTGATTTTTTTTCTCTCTCAACCTTCATCCTTCTCTTCTTTTTGCCGTTGACTATTTCAGGTTTACGCCTTTGTTAAAAGGTGTCGAGGTTTTTAAGTGCACAGGATCGATTAAGCATCCCATGAAGAACAGCATGTAGGTAAGGCTGACAGTCTTTGCCCCATATGTTAGCATCAGTAAAGCAAAGCTAACATCAACACCACCGACTGAAATGCTATCTGAAAATCGGTGATCAAATAAAAGGGGCCACTTGGCAGTATCCTGTATAACGATGCATAATATGAATGTCAACCCATGATCAACTCATCAATTAATCCAATGTATTGTATAAAGCTCGTTTTACATCAGCACTTGTCACAAAGTGCTTAATTAACAGATACCCAACCCATGTTAAATCATATTTATACTAAACGTACCTTGTGCCAGCGTGAAGTACAGACAGGCTAGGATGAGAAAGAATATCACGCTGAACCGCATGGCTGGATGTGTGGTCGTGGCTCTGTAAAGAGGTCCTGGTGGTGCAGAGCAGAATCAAACCCTGGAGGAACACAGGAATACAGGAATACAGGAATACAGGAATACAGGACTACAGGAATACAGGAATACAGGAATACAGGAATACAGGAACACAGGAATACAGGAACACAGGAACACAGGAATACAGGAATGCAGGAATAGCCATAAACCTTATCAATGACTCTCTGCTTCCAACAACCTTCCACGTCTTACTCCCAAGCTATCCGCTTTCAAGTAGTTTGTAGTTGTACCTAGGCTATATGATAACATTTGTATTCCGTTGCTAATGGACATCAGCAATCACATTAAAATAAAGTAAACTAAATATGCACACTTTTCAGTCCAGATGTATAATTACATAGAAAATAGTAATACGTCCTAAATGTATACAGCCTACATCAAGTCACAATATCCTGTTCAACTTTGTGCAAGCTAAAAAGTGAATAATACATATTTCACCTGATGATAATACACAAATTATATAACATTCAAAACTATAAAAAACCACATGCTTTTCATATGATAGTGGCACAAAAGTAATCCTTACATTTTAGAAGGCTATCATCTACAAAGACAGCTATCAGTGCTACTCACACAATTCTGAAGGAGATAGGATGTCTTTAGTTTGTTGCCTTGGTTCTGCTGAGTGTGCAGGGAACCTGCTCTTATGTAGTTAGCGCCACACAGACAGAGCTCAGGTTATATCACCTGAATATGTCACACCCCTGCGCACCTGAGGTACTCTGACTTGGTTTTGGTTTTGATTGGGTAAGCAGAAAGTTGATCGACACACGGAGAGTTGTGTTGCAAACTTGGCAAAGTAGTTATGGGCTCTTAATAACTCTGGGCACTCTCCGACAGAATGACGGATATACTTTTGGGTTCACACAGTTTACTTGTCTTTATATAAGGCCATCTCTGAGACGTTGAACTGAAAGGCCCAATCGAATAGTACAGTTAATTCAGTTCAACAATTTCTCATGAATGCTGTGAAATCATTTTAATTTACCAATTAAGTTTGAGACTATAAGGTTCTATATGCATTTTTGTCAAAATTGAATTATTGACATAGGCTTGTTCTGTTCAATGTTATCTACCTCTACAGCACTCTAAATACCCCAATTCATGTTGTTAAGTTCAAAAGCAATCAAGATCAACATTGCCGTCACCATTCAAACCGATGAAGGTTCGGAACTTTAAAGCCAATTATCTCAGAATCATCTTTTTTTTCAGATAGAACCTTATAGTCCCACGCTCTCGCAATGGCTTTACTGACCAAGCTCACGATGAAAGGGGTCATAATGTGTTCTTCATTCATGCTCAAATGCGGAAGCATTATTTACAAAACGCAAGTCTAAAACTCAAACTATTAAAAGGATGAAATATTAGACTCAAACTTGGCTACTTCTTTTTTTTTTTTTTTTTTTTTTTTTTTTTTACAGGTCTACAAAATCTACCCAAAAGCCTCTGTTGAAACTTGCCATAAAACGAGTCTGGGCCCTTTGCTACGTAAATAGTTTTAGGCAGATTGTCTTAGAAAGATGTGTGAAGCAGCGGATGCAGTAGAAAATGCTTGTAACTCAGGAAGCAGATCAGTCATCATATTGTCTGGTGTAACTGCAGAATGTTTCTGTCAGTAATCCTGAGAGGCTCTTCTTCTACTACTCTCTTCTACTAAATGGTAGCAACAGTGTGGAATGTGTTGGATTTTTTTTTATATTTTTTTTTTAACAGTGTCATTGCTTTTAACTTCTCCTTTCATTGTTTTGCTCTGACTTGGAGCCAAGGCAAGGCCCTGGGTACTTTTCCGCTTGCATTTAAATAACAATGGCTAACTGTGAACTTTAACACCTTCTCACAAAGCAACAGTTTTTATGCTCGCCACAAGTCTTTAGTGTCACACTCCTGATGGAAACACAATAAAGATGCACTATGCTGAAATCGCTCCGCCATTTCCTGGTTGCTAAAATTCTAATAGTTTGCCTAATTTCAGTTTATGTGACAAAACAAGCAAGTACATTTACGTAATTTAGCAGACGCTCTTATCCAGAGCGACTTACAGTTAGTGCATACATTATATATATATATATTTTTTTATATATACTGGCCCCCAGTGGGAATCGAACCCACAACCCTGGCGTTGCAAACCTCCTCTACCAACATCCCTGCCGGCCATTCCCTCCCCTACCCTGGACGACGCTGGGCCAATTGTGTGCCGCCCCATGAGTCAAGTATAGTGTAGAAAAACATTCAGAGGAGGCTGGTGTCCCCTCCTGTACTCCCTGTTCACCCACGACTGCGTGGCCAAGCACGACTCCAACACCATCATTAAGTTTGCTGACGACACAACGGTGGTAGGCCTGATCACCGACAACGATGAGACAGCCTATAGGGAGGAGGTCAGAGACAACAACAACCTCTCCCTCAACGTGAGCAAGACAAAGGAGATGATCGTGGACTACAGGAAAAGGAGGGCCAAACACTCCCCCATTCACATCGACGGGGCTGTAGTGGATCGGGTCGAGAGTTTCAAGTTCCTTGGTGTCCACATTACTAACAAACTATCATGGTCCAAACACACCAAGTAAGTTATGAAGAGCGCACGACAAGATTTGGCATGGGTCCCCAGATCCTCAAAAAGTTCTACAGCTTCACCATCGAGAGCATCCTGACCAGTTGCATCACCGCCTGGTATAAACTCCTGAGTGGCGCAGTGGTCTAAGGCACTGCATCGCAGTGCTAACTGTGCCACTAGAGATCCTGGTTCGTATCCAGGCTCTGTCGCAGCCGGCCGCGACCGGGAGACTCATGGGCGGCGCACAATTGGCCCAGCGTCGACCAGGGTAGGGGAGGGAATGGCCGGCAGGGATGTAGCTCAGTTGATAGAGCATGGCGTTTGCAACGCTAGGGTTGTGGGTTCGATTCCCACGGGGGGCCAGTAAAAAAAAAAATATATATATATATATATTCACTAACTGTAAGTCGCTCTGGATAAGAGCGTCTGCTAAAAAGAAAAAATAACAATTTTTAAAAACAAATAACCACAAATGTTTTATTTTCAGCTGTTTGGACAAAACCGAAAATAAAATACACAAAAACAAAACTTAAGAATGGGAGCATAGAGATGGCACACACAGAACAGATCTACCGCTTCTTAGACGTGCTTTCAATAACAATGACAGATCTATAACTCACATTCCTATGGGAATTTGTTCGTATATATAAAACGCTGGCGAAACCCTGGTGTGGGGGTAAGTCGAGATGGAAAAGCAGGAATGCACAGATGTGCCAGGATGTAGACGTATCGAATGATAATTTCTCTCTATAAACTCAACCTAATCTACTGTTAGAGTAATATAAGGATTTAGTGACAGGAATGATATATTGTTGTAAAGAGTGTTTTTGTGCTCACAAACCATTTTTCCCTCTGGCCATATCATGTTCTGACAGTCGTGACACTCTCATACATTAAGCAGAGCTATATGTAGCGCACTATATAGCGTTTAGGTTGCAATTTGGGACGCAACCAATGAGTCTAACTCTGACATTGAAGAGCCTCTGTCAACATGGCCTTAAATCATGTCTTCTTCAGCGTTTGGCCTCTCATCTCCTCTTTCCATCTGAAAGCTGTTTCTATAAAAACATTTTTTTTTTGTTGGAAATTCTAGAATTAGATTATTGAAATATGTAATACCAATCTCCAAACTTAATTTGCTTTATTTTATAGTGCTATATAATGCTCCAGGGCTAATTTCGTTAGCATTTTGGCATGTAAAAAAAATAAACTATCAGCATACTGCATGTTGCAGAACAGTGATTACATATTTGTTAAAGAATATTGACAAAAGAAAATCGATCCGGGCATAGAGCCGACATATTGAAAATATTTAGAAAATTCCAAAAGCGGGCCAGCACCCACTAAACTTTCATTTTTAAGCTAAACTTCTTCCATTTAAGAATGATGGCCACTGTGTTCTTAGGGACCTTCAATGCTGCAGACATTTTTTGGTACCCTTCCCCAGATCTGTGCCTCGACACAATCCTGTCTCGGAGTTCTACGGAGAATTCCTTCGACATCATGGCTTGGTTTTTGCTCTGACATGCACTGTCAACTGTGGGATCTTATTCAAGGGGTTGAATACTTTCTGAAGGCACTATATTGATGGGAAAGTGTCAGCGCTGAGTGGACAGGTCACCTGATAGCGTTGTTCAGTGATGCTCAGTCACTTTCACAACCAAGGCTGTGTCCCAAATGTGGCACCCTTTTCACTATGGGCCCTGGCCAAATGTAGTGCACTACATAGGGAATAGGGTGTCCTCAGTCATCCCATAACGGCCCAATGAGGCATGTCAACAGCCTGCCCTTTCTGTTTTGTTTGCCTTCAGGCTTATGTTCTTGTCAGTGTTTTTTGGTGTTATGGTCCTGCAAGTGAGGGTACTAATACTACACTGTGGAATCCCTTTGTTGAACAAAACCCTCACACCCTTTCTGTTGCCATCCAGCATGGCAGGAGAGGAGAGAGCTTGAGAGTGAGTAGTTCAAATGCCAAGGAGATGTTAAACGTTATTTTCTTGCAAAACAATAGTTCACATAAAATAAGATAATTCTGATTTGATATGATTTAGTCACATGGTTTCGGTCCTTTTCTAAAAGTTTGACACGACCCTCGCTTTATTTTCCTTGGGAAACACAACAGTTCATAATCACCTGCCATAGTTAAAGCAGTTGTCTGGGAACAAATACAAAACGGGACACAAAGTTGGCTTGAGTTGTCCCATTTCCTGGTAATGGTTTCATAGCTACTGATCCTGACATGATTAATGGCACTGAATTCTGAACAATGGCTGATAAATACCTGTCATAAAGTCTTACAAAAGATGACGGCCCACTGCCAAGAGAAGCTGGTTTGCGTCCCAAATGGCACCCTATACCCTATAGAGTGCACTACTTTTTGACCAGAGCCTTATGGGGCCCTGGACAAAAGTAGTGCACTATATAGGGTATAGGGTGCCATTTCGGACCTAGCCTCAGGGATTCAGGTTGCATGAAAAAGACTGTATGTTTCTCTCCAACATTCATAGTTTTTGTCGTGTTGCATGCATTTGAGAAAAACAATATCCAAAGCCATTAATCAGAATGAAACCTTTACTTTGGCACAGAGAGAAGCCGCAGTATAGGTTCACATACTGACCCATGTATTACAAAGAAAGAACTGTCAGATACTCTTCATGACATCAGTGAAGCGTCAAGTATGGCCTTGAATTCACAAGCATGTCTTGTTTGACACTCCAAAGACATTGCAAAACAGAGTGAAATATGGACAAGTCACTAACGTGAAGCTATTACTAATTAGAGTTTTAACCATACATTTGTAAATAAGATGTACCGAACATGGGGAAAACAAATATTTTGACTGTTATTGATGTACTATATGGATACTCAAGACAAGCATGTCCGAGAGGAGGAATACTTCCCCATCCCTATAGCATGTTATTTTATATTACAGTCAAGCATCACACAATGTCAACAAACATTGTAAACAGCAAACACAGGAATGTAGAATATTTTCTCTATTTCACTGAAGTCAACGCTGTATATAACAACCACTGTGTTTACTGTGTGAGTAAGATATATGCACATATGAGTTGGGGGGAAAACATGCATATGGCTCTTACAGTGGCTTGCGAAAGTATTCACCCCCCCCAGCATTTTTCCTATTTTGTTGCCTTACAACCTGGAATTGAAATTGATTTTTTGGGGGTTTGTATCATTTGATTTACACAACATGCCTACCACTTTGAAGATGCAAAATATTTTTTATTGTGAAACAAACAAGAAATAAGACAAAAAAAACTGAAAACTTGAGTGTGCATAACTATTCACCCACCCAAAGTCAATACTTTGTAGAGCCACCTTTTGCAGCAATTACAGCTGCAAGTTTCTTGGGGTATGTCTCTATAAGCTTGGCACATCTAGCCACTGGGATTTTTGCCCATTCTTCAAGGCAAAACAACTCCAGCCCCTTCAAGTTGGATGGGTTCCGCTGGTGTACAGCAATCTTTCATTCATACCACAGATTCTCAATTGGATTGAGGTCTGGGCTTTGACTAGGCCATTCCAAGACATTTAAATGTTTCCCCTTAAACCACTCAAGTGTTGCTTTAGCAGTATGCTTAGGGTCATTGTCCTGCTGGAAGGTGAACCTCCAGCCCAGTCTCAAATCTCTGGAAGACTGAAACAGGTTTCCCTCAAGAATTTCCCCGTATTTAGCGCCATCCATCATTCCTTCAATTCTGACCAGTTTCCCAGTTCCTGCCGATGAAAAACATCCCCACAGCATGATGCTGCGTGTTCTCTGGGTGATGAGAGGTGTTGGATTTGCGCCAGACATAGCGTTTTCCTTGATGGCCAAAAAGCTCAATTTTAGTCTCATCTGACCAGAGTACCTTCTTCCATATGTTTGGAGAGTCTCCCACATGCCTTTTGACGAACACCAAATGTGTTTGCTCATTTTTTCTTTAAGCATTCTTCCCATATGTTTGGGGAGTCTCCCACATGCCTTTTGGCGAACACCAAATATGTTTGCTCATTTTTTCTTTAAGCGATGGCTTTTCTCTGGCCACTCTTCTGTAAAGCCCAGCTCTGTGGAGTGTACGGCTTAAAGTGGTCCTATGGACAGATACTCCAATCTCCGCTGTGGAGCTTTGCAGCTCCTTCAGGGTTATCTTTGGTCTCTTTGTTGCCTCTCTGATTAATGGTCCCCTTGCCTGGTCCATGAGTTTTGGTGGGCGGCCCTCTCTTGGCCGGTTTGTTGTGGTGCCATATTCTTTCAATTTTTTTTATATTGGATTTAATGGTGCTCCGTGGAATGTTCAAAGTTTCTGATATTTTTTTATAACCCAACCCTGATCTGTACTTCTCCACAACTTTGTCCCTAACCTGTTTGGAGAGCTCCTTGGTCTTCATGGTGCCGCTTGCTTGGTGGTGCCCCTTGCTTAGTGGTGTTGCAGACTCTGGGGCCTTTCAGAACAGGTGTATATATACTGAGATCATGTGACAGATGATGTGACACTTAGATTGCACACAGGTGGACTTTATTTAACTAATTATGTGACTTCTTAGGGTAATTGGTTGCACCAGATCTTATTTAGGGGCTTCATAGCAAAGGGGGTGAATACATATCCACACACCACTTTTCCGTTATTTACTTTTTAGAATTTTTTGAAACAAGTTATTTTTTTTATTTCACTTCACCAATTTCGACTATTTTGTGTATGTCCATTACATGAAATACAAATACAAATCCATTTAAATTGCAGGTTGTAATGCAACAAAATAGGAAAAACGCCAAGGGGGATGAATACTTTTGCAATGCGCTGTAGATGTTCGTCTTTTATCAGGTTTAGACTTACCATTGTTCATGGAGCAGCACACTTGAGAAGCTTTCATCTTCCTCTTATTCTTACTTGGTTATCTATAGCCAGACTAGAAATACAAGAGCTCTTATGTGGTTATCTATAGGACTAGAAATACAAGAGCTCTTATGTGGTTATCTATAGGACTAGAAATACAAGAGCTCTTATTGGTTATCTATAGGACTAGAAATACAAGAGCTCGTATGTGGTTATCTATAGCCAAACTAGAATGAGGGATTTTTTTCTAATATATTTTAACATTTGTAATAGCATGTTGAATTCCCTTGTACGCAACCCCATCTAGTGGTGGATCTGCAAGCAAGCGAGTTACAACGCTGATCCCATGTTTCCAAAGAGTTATGGGATATTAGAATCCCCTTGTCTTAACCTTTGTCATCTTCAACCTAGCCTAGAGGTCGCCCCCATAGAATTAGGAATTAGAATACTAGAATGGACATGAACCTTCTTATGATGGGATAAAGGTCAGCCATTTTGGTCAGGGAGTTGGTCAACCATGGTTTGCCAGAGCTGTGATAAGACATTTTGTAAAACAAAGAATTTGAAGAATTTATCTGCACTGTATGTTTGTTAGCTAGCTAGGCCAGACAGTTTTAGAGGAATGGTTCCATACATTTTTCAAATTAACTGCCAATATGCCAACATTCCATTCAAGCAATACAGTCAATCCAAAGCTGGCTGAAATCAGTAGATGATAGGACTTAGACAAGTTGTAAATGCAACAAGTAGTGATATTGTAACATCTAATAACACTCTCAGTTTACCAAATCCCATAGAAACGCATTGAATAACATATTCATAAAGGGCAAAAAGAGACTGTCAAAAAAGAAATAATAAGGAATAAGGTTTTGAAGTGTCTGTCCTGTATCTAGGAGATACAAGAAAGCTCAGCCTTATTCTAAAATGGATTAAACAAAACAAAATCATCAGCAATCTACACACAATATCCCATAATGACAAAGTGAAAACAGGGTTTTAGATTTTTTTGCAAATGTATTACAAATAAAAAACAGGAATACCTTATTTACATAAGTATTAAGACCCTCTGCTATGAGACTCGAAATTGAGCTCAGGTGCATCCTGTTTCCATTGATCATCCTTGAGATGTTTCTACAACTTGATTGGAGTCCACCTGTGGTAAATTCAATTGATTGGACATGATTTGGAAAGGCACACACCTGTCTATATAAGGTCCCACAGCTGACAGTGCATGTTAGAGCAAAACCAAGCCATGAGGTCAAAGAAATTGTCTGTAGAGCGCCGAGACAGGATTGTGTCATGGCACAGATCTGGGGAAGGGTACCAAAACATGTCTGCAGCATTGAAGGTCCCCAAGAACACAGTGGCCTCCATCATTCTTAAATGGAAGAAGTTTAGAACCACCAAGACTCTTCCTAGAACTGTCCGCCCAGCCAAACTGAGCAATCGGGGGAGAAGGGCTTTGGTCAGGGAGGTGACCAAGAACCCGATGGTCACTCTGACAGAGCTTTAGAGTTCCTCTGTGGAGATGGGAGAACCTTCCAGAAGGACAACCATCTCTGCAGCACTCCACCAATCAGGCCTTTATGGTAGAGTGGCCAGGCGGAAGCCACTCCTCAGTAAAAGGCACATGACAGCCCTCTTGGAATTTGCCAAACGGCACCTAAAGACTCTCAGACCATGAGAAACAAGATTCTCTGGTCTGATGAAACCAAGATTGAACTCTTTGGCTTGAATGCCAAGCGCCACGTCTGGAGGAAACCTGGCACCATCCCTACGGTGAAGCATGGTGATGGCAGCAACATGCTTTCGGGGATGTTTTTCAGCGGCAGGGACTAGGAGACTAGTCAGGATCGAGGGAAAGATGAACGGAGCAAAGTACAGAGAGATCCTTGATGAAAACATGCTCCAGAGCGCTCAGGACCTCAGACTGGGGCGAAGATTCACCTTCCAAAAGGACAATGACCCTAAGCACACAGCCAAGACAACGCAGGAGTGGCTTCGGGACAAGTCTCTGAATATCCTTGAGTGGCCCAGCCAGAGCTTGAACATCTCTGGAGAGACCTGAAAATAGCTGTGCAGCGACGCTCCCCATCCAACCTGACAGAGCTTGAGAGGATTTGCAGAGAAGAATGGGAGAAATTCCCAAAATACAGGTGTGCCAAGCTTGTAGCGTCATACCCAAGAAGACTCTAGGCTGTAGTCGCTTCCAAAGGTGCTTCAACAAAGTACTGAGTAAAGGGTCTGAATACTTATGTAAATGTGATATTTTGGTTTCTTATTTTTAATAAATAAAAAATAA